AATTGACTACTCTTTTACCAACGAATAGTTGGATTGATCGTCACATTATAACACCCCCGACGGCTGAAAGGGCGAGCATGTTTGGTGTGACGGGGATTCGAACCCGCGACCCGCAGATTGCGAGCCGAATCATACTTGAATATCTAAACTTTGACCAATTTCCTCACATTCTTATGCAGACTTTTGGGTCTGGGAAGGCCTGGTGGTTAAAGCGCTCGACTCGCAACCTGAGGGTCACGGGTTCGAATCCCTGTCATCGAACGTGCTCGCTCTTTCAGCCGTGGAGGCGTTATAATGTGACGGTGGTTAGTGTTCTTTCACTACTAAATTACGGAAGGCTAGCGCAAATAGTCCTCTTGTATCTTTGCACGAAATTCAAAACAAACAAATCAATCCAGACCTTTAGGATTTACTACAAAAAAATCTCAAAGTAGGAAAGTTTATTTTTCTATGAAGTCACAGTTTCCTCCACCAGCACACAATATCTTAACTCCGTGCTCTTGTAGTGTTTTCACTTCATTTCAGTATCTAGATACGTTTAATCGTTATCCTGATTAAATCATGTTTGTATTTATGATTTCACTAAATTATCTTAAAATGATCGACCAACTTACGTAGACATCAAATATCATTTATATCTATAAGGATATTCCAGCCTTCTTCGTGTAAAGCTGCTTTAAGTTTGTTGAACGGTAAATCCGATAGGGGTAGGCAGTTACGTTCCTTCTTTATATCTGTCATCATTAAGCCTGAAGAAATCAATTTTAAAGAAAAGAGAAGAGCCAATAGATTTTAAACAATTTCATGAGCTATTTAATTATTCGTTTTAAAATACCATGTTAAAAGTATTGTTTTAAACTCCCATTCATATTGCAGCCGTTCTGATTAAGTCAAGCAGGATAATATCAAAGTATATAGTCGTTACCCGAATATTTAATCTGAAATATAGAATTCCATTTCTATAACATTCCAAATTCATCCACTTGTTCTTCACATTATTACTGTTCATATTATTCTTTTTTTCATAATACTACAAAAAAACGGCTATGAATATTTTGTTCAAACCTGAGAAAATATACTAAAAAATTCATGTGCAGGTCATAAAACTATTTTTATGTTGATTCTTGAAAGAGAAGGAGAGATTTTATCAGTTTTTTCATCACTACTGGCCAAGTTTCTCTTCGAATCAATTCAAGCATCGAAGCCTACAGCAAAAAGGACTAAGTATACTGCACCAAAATCTATGCACAACTATTAAACAAACTCCTGCGAAGATTGTAGGGCTATTTTCTAAGTTCTGCTTCGCTACCAAAATAAGTTCTTCGAAGCCATCGAAGCATCGCAGAAATGTAGAAGCCATTTAAGCACCGTTATACTGGTTGGAAATACTTCGTTTTATTAGTGAAAATAAACAACGTCTATATTTATAACAGTGTTTCCAGCCTTATTGTTGTTTTACAAGCCGCTACAGAAAGAACTATTATGAATATTTTACTAAAACCTAGACAATAGTAATTAATGCAGTACTGAATATGTCATAGAGTAGTTTTAAAATTAATTCAAGCGCCTTCGTTTTTTCGCCCTGAAGAATTTCTCTAAGTCCTTTACTTTCTGTCATTGAAAAAATCTGGTGTTTTACTAATGCACTTTAATTGGAAAATAATTTATGCAACTTATAGCGCATTAATTTGAAACTTTCACGTTGAGGATTCATCATTTCTCCAATTGGCTGTTGGATTTTGTCTCTACCTAGTTTTCTGCAACTATTTCAGAGAGTTTTATAACAGCAGACGATTACCATAGTAGATCTCTTTACTCTTCTGGGTGGTGGTTTATTCTAGTGATTTTCTTACTTCACTTGTTAAACGTGTTTACACGAAATCTTAGGGGCAAAACCACCTGGCTCGGTAAATAATTGTTGGATGGAAAAAAAAGGCAATTCAATAGTAAACTGTTGAAAAACATGTAATATTCAATCTAAAAAAAATTTAATTTAAATGGGGGAATAAGGATCGTCAAAAAAGTACAGAAACAAGTTGAATCAAAATGCAAAGATTATATTTTCATGTTAACAACTAGAGACTCTAAAAAAGTAAACAAATAATACTAGAAATAGTGTCTACATTATTTTATCAAACTACAAATCCCTATTTTGACTCCACTAACATTGATAATTACTGTAGACTTGGATTCAAAATAAGGATTTATAACTTGAGAAACTAACGTAGACACTATTTTCAAACTTAGTTTGTTTACTTTTTTAGAGTCCCTAGTTGTAGGCTTGAAAATATAATCTTTGCATTTTGATTCAACCTGTTTCTATACTTTTTGACGAACCCTATTCCCGTATTTTAAATTAACAATTTTTAATTAACTTGTTTTACATAGAAAAGGAGTAATTTAAACCAATATTTTAGGTCAGTATTTTCACATTGGATGTTTAAAAAGACCAAAACATAAAAGTATTCATTATAATACTGTCAAAATTTTAAAACATAATCTTTCGCCTATTGTCAAAATAAAAGGCTTTGACTTATACTTCTTAATAGTATAAATAAATATTGTGTTGTTGTGTTTCTACAGTAGGTGTCTGTGACCTGTTAGCGATAAATTCAACGATAAATGAACAGCACGCACTTCATTTGTTTTAAAATAATATATATATATATTCGGAACAAGTTAAACGTCTGTACCACAAATTCTTCACACTATAGAGATTACAGTCATATCATAAACACTATATATAGTTCTCTTCTTCTTGTTAAAAGTCCATTTAGCCCTATTCAATTGCTCTAAAATCTCAGTTGACAAGCCGAACTATCTTCTCTATTACTATTGTACTAGTATTCTGTGTGTGATTCACTTACAATTGCGGCGTGAGTTATTCATAACCGTTTTGTCTTATTTCTTCTAAATATCCTCTGTTCCTTTTGTCAAACTGCACTCAGGCTGATTCAAGTACTTTAGAATCACACTTGGACGGAATAATTATTTTTCTTTATCTCATTTTCTACTGTTAGTCTTACATATTAAATGTTAGGCCTATCACTTCTACGGTAGTTAACTTCACGCTGAACTTTTCCTTGCCCGTACCTTTACTCTCTTCTGCTATTTTTTGTCTGCTGTTATCGCTTGTTTCACACTATTTATATGCTTATCACTCATTCGTCTGCCCGCCTTCTAGAAATCTCTGTATTCTCGACGTCAATGTAATGCACGCGACGTTCAACATCAATGAATTATAAACACAACTTCCAACAATCGTCTGCTTTTAACTCTTATTATAAAAGAAACTAAACAATAATAAAATATTCACTCCCAAAATAAATTAATCAATAACATCTAAACTAAACAGTCTT